GGAGGGACAGCGCAGGAGAGGAAGGCCCTCTATGAGGTGGATTGATTCAGTGACTGGGATAATCAGGATAGGAGTGTCAGAGACAGTGAGATTGGCACAGGACAGAGCAGAGTTTAGGGCTGTTGTACATAGGGTCGCTACGAGAAGCTAGCAACTTGACGGCACATAACAACAACATGCAATTTAGCTCTGACTTGACAATATTGAGTATGAGTTTTTTATATATACAGTGGAATACGACCTACTTAGCCACAAGGAAAAAAATCTAATATATGTTATCACTTGACTAAACTGTAAAATCATGATATAGGTGAAATACGTTAATCACAGGCCAAAAAAGGGGGCAAATGCTATATGACCTCTCTCACTTATATGAAATCACTTTTAAGAAATCCGACTCACTGCTGTTAAGTAAGAACTGACTCATAGTTGACCCTTCACTGGGTTTCTGAAGCTATAAATAAATAACATGCAAAGGGATTGCCCATCTTTCCACCTTAGTATCACTGGTGGATTCAAAGTTCCAGAAAAGCATGTGCTTTGGATTAGTAAAACAAGTCTCTACAGACTCAGCCATCAAAGCTGCCTAAATATATAAAACTAAAGTTACTGTTTAGAGGGCACAGAGCTTATGGCAATGGTGCGGAAATAAATAATGTGGAAAATGATAATGATAGTAGTTGTATAACATGAATTATACATGCAAAATGATTTAACTAGAACATATTTTGTTATATGTATTGGTACTACAACTCCAATAAGAATATTTAACTAGAACATGTTTTGTTCTAGGTATCGGTATTACCACTAAAAATAAAACAGTAAGAAGGGCAAAGTCATGATTTCACCAGCTCACAGAGCTCCTACCTTGCTGAAGAGCTTGTCATGAAGGACTGTAGAGGCCTTCTTTGTGACCTTGGTGAAAACCCCTGAGAAACAGATCTCAGTGCAGGATAGGAACAGGGCGCTGAGGATGTATACCAGTTGGTAAAAAGGTAGCTGTGGATTGTCCAGCACATCACCTGGGTCTGTGTTGGTTCCATTGCTTTTTTGGCTGCTATTGGTCTTCAAGAAAAAACAGGAGGTCATATGGCAGCAAGAGTGACATCCACCTCCTAAAACAACCTGCCCCTGGAAACTCTATGAACTTTGATAAACGATGAGAGTTATGGAAAGGCTTCAGGACTTTTGTTCATAGAGTCACTATGAGTCATGCTCGACTTGACGACAATCAATAACAACAACAACAACAACATATGGCATGAATTCAGGCAGAAATTCAGTGGAAATACTTTTCCCTGAGGCCACATACGGTTCAGAGGCTGGAACAATATGAAACTATGTTAAAATATCCTTGCTTTGAGTTTTTGCTGCTTTCCTTTTTTCTCCATTGCCACTGTCACAGCTTTAGATTAGACATTCATTATGTAGACTTTGAGGAGTCCTGGTGGTGCAGAGTTTAAAGTACTCAGCTGCTAACTGAAGAGTGAGTAGTTTTAATTCATTGGTTGCTCTACAGGAGAAAGGTGAGATTGCTGGTTTCTAGAACTATCGACAGCCTTTGACCAGCCACACCACAGGAAAAGGATGCTTAATCGACTCCTGTGTGATTAACTGCCTCTGAAAACCCACTGGAGTGTCAGCTTGGGGCAGCTCACACAACAAAATCCCTAGGTACCCACTTCTGGGAGAGCTCACCAATTAATGTGTGTAAAAAAAAAATGAGTCCATAAAATAGCCAGTATATTTCAGTGTCAACAATGGTGTCAAATTGTGGGTGTATTAACTTGTTGCATTAGTAAGTCACACCTTAGCATACATGCTTTCTCCAGGGTTGAGACATTTTATTGACAAGTATTTTGTTAACAAAACCCTTTGAGTATCTATAAATATTTGTTGTTGTTGTTAGTTGCCATCAAGATGAGTACGACTCATTGCAACAACAGATCTGAACCCTGTCCTATCCTGTGTCATCCTCATCATCTCTGACACACTTGACCCTTTACTGCTGTCACTGTGTCAATCTCTTTCATTACAAATCTTCCCCTCTTTTGCTGACCCTCCACCCTTCCAAGCATGATGTCTCTTTCCATGAAATAGCCTCTCCTAACAACATGTCTAAAGTATGAGAGAGAGAAAGCTTCGCCATCTTTGCCTCCAAGGAACACTCTGGTTGCCCTTTTCCCAAGACATTTGTATTTTGACCATTTGTGCTTTTGGCAGTCCATGGGGTTTTCTTCTCCAATATCACACTCGATTTATCTTGTCATCTTTATTTACTGTCTAGTTCTCAGATGTATAGCAAGTAACTGAAAATACGTGGCCTGAATCAGGTACACCTTAGTCTTCAAACTAACATCACTGCTCCAAAGTATTTTTGAGAGTTCTCTGATAGCAGATCTGCTCAAAACAAATACATTTCCTGATCTTCTGACTGTTGGTATCAAGGATGTTGATTGTGGATCTAAGTAAGATGAAATAATTGACAATTTCAACCTTTTCTTCATATATCATGATGTTGCTTATCAGTCAAGGGATAAAGATTTTTGTCTTCTTCATGCCGAAATGCAATCCCTGTTGAATGCTGCTGCAGTCTTTGATTTTTTGCAGTCAGTGTTTGAAGTCTTCTTCACTTTCAACAAGCAAAGTTGTGTCATCTATATAACGCAGGTTCTTGATGAGTCTTCTTCAAATCCTGATGTCATCTTCTACTTCAGAGTCCAGCTTCTCAAAGGATTTGCTTAGCAGACAGATTGTATAGGTATAGAGAAAGGCTATAACCCTGATGTACGCCTTTATTCATTTAAAACCATGCAGTGTTCTTGCTCTGTTCTGAGAACAGAGCTTCTTGGTCTAGACACAGGTTTTGTATGAGCACAATTAAGTATTCTGGTGTACACATTCTTCTCAGTGTCAGCCATAGTTTGTTATGATACACACAGTCAAGTGCCTTTGTATAGTCATTAAAACACAAATAGACATTCTTGTATCTCTGCTTTCAGCCAGGAACTATTTGATATCAGCAATGACATCTGTGGTTCCATGGTCTTTTCTGAATCCCACTGTACCTCTATCAATGTCATGTTCTAGCCATTCAGCAATATTTTGCATGCAGGTAGTATTAAGGATATTGTTTGATCATTTAAAGGGTTAGGTATGGATTATTGTTCGTCGTTGTTGTTGTTGCTGTTGTTGTGTACCATTGAGTCAGAATCAACCCATAGCAGACCTTCCAATGGGTTTGTAGAAACAGTGAATTCTCAGGGGAAGAAATTGCCCATCTTTCTGCTTAGGAACAGCTAGGGGATTTGAACCGCACACCTCTGAGTTGGCAGGGTCACTCCATAGTACAAAGCTACCAGAGCTCCCTTCTCAATTGATAACAAGTTGTTATGTACTGAGTTGGAACCAACCCACAGCTGACCCTCCAGTGAGTTTTCAGAGGCAGTAAATCTCAAGGGAGGAGATTGTCCATCTTTCTCCTGCGAGGCTACTGGTGGATTCAAACCACATGTGCTCGTGTGGACAGTACAACTCCTTATCACTAAACCACCAGAGATTCCTATCCATTATATTCTTGTAAAGCCTGAGTTTGTTTTGTTAGGATTTCATGATTGAAAATCATAATACAGTGTTGGGGCTACTCTGTTGGATTCATGTGAAGTGAATTATAAATAAACATGCAAACATTTAGGGCTAGAAAAAAAAACTCCTGAGAAACTCCCGCTTCAGTGCTCCCTGCTGTTGAGGCCACGCATTCCCTTCTCTCTCTTCCAGCCCTTCTAATGTTGTCTGAGCCTCCAATTGCCTATAATGTTCCTCAACTCTAAATATTGAGACTATTTCTGCTTTCCAAACCAAATCCTGCCTGGTACATGACTCAAAAAGGTATCTGAGTGGTGCATATGGGGGGGGGGGGGGGAAATTACTTAGATTCAGAATACCAAGTTCATGTTCTTACTTCTAGGAGTTTTGTCTGCAAGACTCTGTTTCTTTTTAGTCTTGGGCTTGAATTCTTTATACAGAAAATGGGACTGTGATACCTCAGAATATGATTGAGAAGAGGAATAAAATAAAAACTAACACATAGTAACCTCTCAGCCTGATGCCTTAGAAGTTCATGAATATAATTAAATAAAACATAGTAAGATCGCAAAGCTGAAGCCAAAGGAATCATCCCTAAGGTAGACTGTAGAGAATTCTCAAAGAACAAAAATCTTTTGATAGCTCCTAGTCAGACTGAATAAATTGGAACCCTTCTGTAAATAGGAGACTAGAATCCAGAGGGAATATTTGTGTCCTGTCTTCTAGAGGTTCTTTTTGGAGCTGTTTCTCACCAGCAGAAGGTGTTGTTAGACTTCCCCTGTGAAGGTCTAACCCATGTTCTTACCTTCATAGGTAGCAGAAAGGCAGTACCTCAGAGATCAAGAAGCCACACCATCCCATGCAAACCCAGAGTAATTTACCCTCACTCCCATAATGGCACTCACCCCTGAGCCCTGGTCCAACCAATAGCTCAGCCACCAGAAGTTGAAGGTCAGGAGGGAGATGCTCATAACCATGAGAAGACAAGCTGTGAGAGAGACTATATAACCTGGGGAGAGAGGGGGAGGAGATGCTGAGTAATAGCAAGGACCACAGTAAGAGGCAATGCAAGGTCGCTTGGCCATTCCAGAGCCTGAATCCTTCAACTGCTTGGAATCCCTTGAGGACAGGATAGAACTAGGCTCCAAAGGCAGAGAGCCCCAGGTTCTAATCCTGGCTTTATGACCTCCAAACTGTATATGACCCTGGGGAAGGCAGCAGATGTCAGTGGCATTTCACTTCTTATCTATGAAATAGAGATGGCCAGGCCAGTCTCCCAGGGCTGCTCTGGAGATGATGTGAGGTAACATGAGTCAAGCACTAAACCCAGTGTCTGTCACATAAGCAATACTCCAGAGGATCTAAATTTCTCCTGTGAGTTCAGTTTTTAGCAATAATTATTGTGTATGTAGTATACACCATAGGTCAACATGGTGACAAACCTACTTCCATTTTTATTATTATTATTATTATTATTATTATTATTATTACTAATAATCTGGAAGCAGGAGCAGCATCCACTTCTGAAATGGCTTGCCTCCAGAAACCCTATGTATGAACAGTGCTCAGGCCCTCCTTTCATAGGGTCATTATGAGTCATCTACAACTCGATGGCACCTAGCAACAACAATAATAATAATAACAGGGAGTTATTGTGACCTAGTGGACAAGGAATTGTGCTTCCAACCCAAAGGTAGGTGGTTCAGCACTCCCCAGGAGAAAGATGAGCAGTCTCCACGTGTACCATCTCTGAAAACCCCCTGGAGGGTCAGTTATACATTCTTTCCAACTTGATGGCACATAAAAACATTATAAATAATAATAAACATGCATTGATTCTGAGTTAAGAATTCTTACACTCATTGGTATGAGAATATAATCATAAAGTTTGTAAGTGAAGGTGCTAAGATTCAAACACTGCTTTTTCTGGGTCATAAAGTCAAGGACAGAGACACTCAGGGTCTGTTTCTTACTTTAGAACCTGCCTCTTGCCCCAGCACTCCACTCAACTATACAATCTGTGTTCCATGCAGCAGTTCCTACCAGGAGACACTCAGAAGTCCATCCCCTGTTTGATGACATCTGAGACCAGTCTGGCCACAAAGTAGTACATGTAAACATCCTAATTCTCCAGTGAGCCTGGTTCTTAGATAGCATAAAACTTGTCCCTTCCAAAGTATATTGCAGTCCCCAGTACACAGAGGTGCTTTCTAAATACATGTCAAGTGATCGCTTGATCAATTAGTGCATTTCACAAACATCTGATGGTCTTTTTTGTCCTGTGATAGGCCCTACAGAGTTTTATATGTTTATATTGGAAGGGTGGGAGTGGTCACTTCTTGTACATAGGTCAGATAGGTCTGGAGAAGACACATCTTCTTAAATGTTAGGTTCAAAAGTTTGTAAATAGTAAAAATTGACATAGAATCAAAATCAATTTTGCAAATCTCTTAAATTGCTCAAAAACTACACTGCCACATACCTGCTTTTGTACTTACAACATAGTACAGTCATATGTATATGAATTTAGGAAGGTGCAAAATTTAATAAAGGAGCAACTTTGAAACTACTAGTTTCCAACTGCCTTAAGAAATAATGTATTTGAATTTTGTAAATAAACTAGTATAAATATACATTTATATTGAACTTAATGCACATTAAAACTTCACCAACACACAAAGCATAATGTTTTCTATACACTTCTTTGCGTGTCGCTCACAAGTCATCAATTGATTTTACAATTTACTAAGGAGTCAGTATCTGCACCTTGAAAACATGAAAATGAACAGAACACATGAAAGTATAACTTTTGGAATGGACTCCACACATGGTTACTGAGTATGGCATGGGTTGATGTTGAACATAAATGTGGTTGTGCAAGCTAAGACCATAAATGGCATGGCTCCTCTGTACCGCTCTACTTCAAATGACACATCTAGACCAAAATCCTCCCTGTTCCAGGTGGACCTGGCTTCAGGACCAGGAGTGACCTAAGAGAGCCTTCAGCTTGGCATGAGGCAGCTGATGGACTGTACCTCCAGCTGCCTGGATATAGTGGTGGTAGACACGCCAATTCAGGGAACCTTCTTTCATCTCCTCCTTCTTTGTAAGCTGAATCTCCGGCACTGGGTGAAGGTAAAAGAAGAAGAAAATGGTTAAGATTCCCAAACACCTGTATCTTCCTTAAGGATGAAGGGGAGTCCTAACAGAGCCTTTTGCCTTTGACTCTTCTCCAGGTTCCTCACCTTCCAGCTGCACTGCTCACTTCATTCTGACCTAAATCAGCAGGTTTTGCACAGGAAAATATGACTGAAGATAACATTTTGATGTGCACTCCAGTAAACTCTGGAAGGGCTAGGCTTCCCAAGTGCTTGACAGCTGAGAGAGACAGCAAGAGAGAATGAAGAACTGAGTTCAGAAATCCTGAGTTCCAGAGCCGTCACTTGGACATAACTCAATGGGCAAGTTCAGACAAATAAACTCTCAATCTCGTCATCTGAAAAATGGCAGGCTAGAAAGTCACCAAGATGCTTCGCATCAAATACAAAATGACACACTTCTGAGACAACTCTTCAGAAAACCAGCTGTGACCTCAGGCCAGGCATACCCTTGCCCCAGAGCAGGGTACCAAGATCATTACCTGGAGAGTTCAGTAAATACTACTAATAATAACAGTAGTGGTGAAGAGATTGAGATTGTTAACAGCTTTAGTTTACTTGGCCCCACAGTTAATACTCTTGGTACCAGCAGCCAGGAAATAAAAAGATTCATTGCATTGGGAAAATCAGCTGCCAGGGACCTCTCCAGAGTACTGAAGAGCAACAATGTCAATCTGGAGACTAAGGTGCACCTGATCCAGACCATAGTCTTAGCAATTGTGTGCTATGCATCAGAGAGCTGGACAATGACTAGGGATGATAGAAAGAAATTGATGCCTTTGAGCTGTGGTGCTGGAGAATAGTGTTGATTATGCCATGGACTGCCAGGAGAGCAGGTTCATCCTGGAGAGGGTGAAGCCAGGCTGCTCCTTGGAGACAAGGATTCTGAGTCTTTGTCTAACATACTTTGGGCATGTTACAGGGAGGGACCAGTCCTTGGAGAGGGACATCATGCTTGGAAAGGTGGAGGGACAGAGAAAGAGAGGAGACCATCAATAAGATGGATTGATACAGTGACTGGGGAAATAAGGGTAGGTGTGTTAGAGACAGTAAAGTTGGCACAGGATAGAGCAGGTTTCAAGGTTGTTGTACATAGGGTCACTATGAGCAACTCAACGGCACATAATAACAACATGTCTGTGGTAGATTTGTGTTGTTATTGCCTGAAATCATCCCTTCTAATAAAAATGCCCGATATCTCATTGGGGTCACTCTTCCTGCACTGGCTCCATCTTAGAAGGACTGTCAGTTAAGACGTCTCATGCTCCTTGAGTAAGAGATGAGCATGTGATAAATGTTTGCCTACTGAGCGCCTGTTCTCTTCCTGGAATTTGAGGCTTGGGGGCGGGGGGCACTTACACTAGAATGGAAAATGCTATTTGAACACCCAAGTTGCTAAGATTTGGCTCTTCAACGTTTCCTTTCGTTTTCTTTCTTTCCAATGAATTATTTTTCTGATTAGTTCAAATGAATGTTTAACCTTTGCATCTAAAGAACTCTGTTAGAGATGAAACAATGAGCCTGGAGGGAGCTCTGGTGGCCTAGTGGCAAGGAGCTGCAACTACAATTCCAGAGGCACACGGTTTGAATCCACCAGTTGCTCTGCCGGGGAAGGAGGGACAATCTCCTCCTGTACCAGTCAGATCTGATTTGATGGTGCACTCACACAAAAATAATAATACATTTAAAAAAAACAACAACAGTGAGCCTGGTCTAATACTTGGGGCTGCTCACATTTTAACTCATTTAATCCCCACTGAAAATACTTTTGCCATTGAGAGTGCAGGAATTAAGTTGCCTAGTTAAGATCACATTGTCTTCTAAGTAGCAGATCTGATATTCAAAACCAGAATCTCTTTACTTTAAAAATGAATGTCTTAAAAAATACAATGTTTTTCCATTTTACTACTTTGTCTCGATAAGGGCAAAACCATGAACGTTTCTAGATGTCAGGATTTGGACCTATATAATTTCTGAATTCTACTATCTTGGCTCATAACAATATGCAACGAGTGAGTCAATACACAAATGCCTTGCAGAGTCTTAGCTAATCTCTGCTCAAAATCAAAGACATACATCATCTCCTGCCTTGCCCCACAACATCAGCTGTGCCACTTGTGATACCCACTTCCTGGATCTTTCAGGTCTCCCAGTCATCAGTGCTTGTAACTCCATTGAACTCCATTACTTTTATTGCAACCAGCTTTAGCCTTGGGATGAAGAAGAAATGCCAGATCTCTGGACAGACCAGACGGGCATGTACACATTCTCACCTGTTTTTCCAGCACCATTACCAGTATTTTCATTGAGAGGGTATTCTTGGGTGGTGGCATAAGCTTGACCATTCACCTGCGGCTTCTCTGATATCTTTGTTGTGTCATGTGATGAATTCTGGAGAGAAAGCACATTCTATGAATGCAGAGACATCCTTACCAATGAATGGGGAAAGGGAGTTGTTGGGCTGAAAATTACCCGATCGGCTTCTTCATGCATCTTCTGGATGAGTTGGGCATACTTCCCCTTTCTCTGTACTAACTCATCATGAGTTCCAGCTTCACGGATTTTCCCTTCTTCTAGTAAAATGATCTGGTCACAAAATTCTAAATACTTCAGAATCAGAAAAGAAAAGACCTTCAGTAAGCCTGTGAAAGTATATTCTACTTCACCATTCATGGTGAAAACATAAATGCTTAACATAATAAAATATTACTTACCACTAGATTTGCAAAATGTTTAAACTCAGATAATTCCAGATGTGGATAATGATCTAAGTCAAAAAGAACTCTTACAGAGTGTTTGTGGGAATTATAAATTGGTACAGTCATTTTGGAGAGCAAGTTGACAATATCTAGTAAAATTGAGGAGTCTCTGGGTGGAAACATGGCTAAGTGCTCAATTATGGAAAGACTGGACGTTCTAACTCCCAGGGGCACCTCAGGAGACAGGCATGGTGATCCGCTTCTGAAAGGTCATAGACTGGACAACTCTATGGAGTAGTTCTACTCTCTAGCCAAGGAATCACCGTGAGTTAGAATCAACTCAAGAGCAACAACAATAGTAAAGTTTAAGACGTGAATTATAAACCAACAATTTCACTCCAAAATGTTGTTATAAAGAATCTAGCAAGCTTGTATATAAAAACACACATAGAAGCATATACACTGAGGCAATTTTTTGCAAAGCAAAACACTGAGAAAAACTTAAATGTCCAACCTGTTGATGTAACTTTTGTTGGGAATGATGGAGTCAATTCTGTCTGATAGTGACCATGTGTTTAACCTTTATAGGAGCAGATCATGAGGTCTTTTACATCTGGAGACAATGAGTGGGTTCAAAGTACCACCAGCCTTTCAGTTAGCAGCTAAGTGTTTAGCTGTATGTCACCAGGGCCTCTTGAATGTACATCCCAGAGAAATAAAGTCTATTCATATATTGAAATACTTACCAGTGAGACTCAAAGTGACATGTATAAACATGGAAAATCTCAAGAACATAATGCTGAGGGGGAGTGGGGGAAACCTTACCAAAAGACACAAAAGAAAATACAAATTATGTATAAATCTAAAAATCACAAAAGGATACTTTGACATGTGAGACTTTATAAAGAATAATGATTAATTGAATCCAAGAATAAGAAAAGGGAGAGGCAAAAGACACAACTACTCTGAAAGGTAGTTTGGCATTTCCTCAAAAAGTTGAACATAGAAATCCTACATGACCCAGCCATTCCATTATTGGAATATAACCTGCAGAAGTCAGAGCTGAGATACAAACATTGAGATAGATAGGTAGATAGATAGATAGATAGATAGATAGATAGATAGATAGATACCTATAGAGATAGATAGACATAGACTAGATATAGATATAGACACAGATATAGTTATAGTTATATAGTTATAGTTATCATTATCATTATCGTTATAGATATAGATGAGATAGATAGATAGATAGATAGATAGATAGATAGATAGATAGACACACATACCTACCTACCTATGATCATAGAATGTTATTTACAATAGCAGGAAAACAGAAACATCTCAAATGACCATCAACAACCAAATGGATAGAAAAACTGTGGTATATTCACACAATGGAATACTATGCAACACTAAAGAGAAATGAAGTGTTTGTAAAGTATGACCAGTATGGGAGAGTCTAGAGGTCATTATGTCGAGTGAAATAACTCTGCTACAAAAAAAGACAAATACTGCATAAGATCGCTACAGTGAATATAAGAGGATAACTAAGAAGGGCGTGAGGTGGAGGTGAAGAACAGATAAACAAAGAACACTACCAGGTCCAAGACAAGAGAGGATCAAACCAGGAAGATTCAAGATAAAGACAATAAGGCCGTAAAAACAATTAGCAAATAGGAACAAGATATATGTGAATGTTTAAAAAGGAAAACGGGAGAAGGGGTGTGCAAGAAGGAAGAGGTAATCTCTAGGACAACAGACATTAGTTACGAGATGGCAGTAAAGGAATAGATAAGATCCTGAGGAGACAGAGAAATAAAAGTAATAGATCAAGGGTAATTAATGATATAAAACACAATGTACAGAAATTACTGCATAAAACAAAATATACTGTGATAAAATAATCTACATGAATATTCATAGAAAAGTGAATGATTGTATAAATAAATAATTTTTGAAAGAAATACAATTAGCAAGTTTGGGCCAATTGGCTTACATAAAGTTCTACACCCAGGGAGAAAAGTGCAACAATGAATGATGGAAATCCAAAGTCTCTGTAAATTTTCAATGAAATTAATAATAAATTTTAAAAAATTAAAATAAAATAGTTCTACATCCAGCAAATAGAAAACAAAAATATTCCCAAGCTGATATAGGATAACAGATGACCAGGGACATTTAACTAAAGAGAAAATGTCAATATATCTCAACAATAGGCATCATACATACTTATGATCACTCTAATAGCATTCATTTATAAGCTAATTAAAAAAAGATATAAAGATTCCTGCTTATGGAAAGATTAAATAAATGCAGATAAATTACAAGGATTTATGGAAAAAATAATTGAAAATTATTCTAGAATTGAATAATAATAAAAAAGTTCTCCCTTCCCAAAATCACAAAAGGATGCTTTGAATGTGAGACCCTAAGAAGACAAAAGGAGGGGGAAGGCACCAAGAAAATTGTCAAATATTTGTTGGGAAACATTGACTCAGATGGCACAAAAGTCAAGAAGATATGCATTGAAGAAGCACAATGAGACTCAAATATGGTAGATCCCAGAACAAAGTCACGAAGATGGAGGAAAACCAAACCAAACAAAACCAAACCATAAAACCTGTACAAAACCAAAGACAAGGAAAGAATCCTGAAAGAAGCTCAGGAAAAACAAAAAGTTGCCAATGAAGGAAAATAAAGAAGACTGGGCTCTGATTTCTCATTAGGAACCACACAGGCAAGAAAGCATTACAATGGTGTACATAAAGTCCTAAAACATAAAAAAATTGCCAACTAAGAAATATATACCCAGCAGAATTGTCTCTTAAATGTGATAGCAAAACCAGGACATTAACAGATACATAGCAATTAAGGGAACTTGTAAAAACCAGTCCAACTTTAAGAGAAAGAGATGCTGCAGGAAGTCCTTCAAAGAACCAACAATGAGAGACAAAAAAATAGAGATTAAGACATAAAACTCTATCATCCAGAAATCAATCTAGACTTCCTGTTAGTATTGTTATTTGGTGCCATCAAATCAGCTCTGAATCATATTGTTGTTAGGTACCATTGAGTCAAGTATGACTCACAGCAATCCTATGAACGGATTTGAACACTGTCCTACTCTGTGCCTTTCTTGCAATCTCTGACACACTCAAGGCCACTGCTGCAATCACTGTGCCATTCCACCTGGTTGAGGGTCTTCGTCTCCTTTGTCATCTCTCTACCTTACCAAGCATGATGTCCTTCTCCAAGGAATAGATTCTTCTAGAAACATGCCCAAAGTATGTGAGACATAGTTGGTTTTTTATCATCTTTGCCTCCAAGGAGCATTCATCTTCAAGACATATCTGTTTATTCTTCCGGCTCTTGATGGATACTCGACACTCATCTCCACACCGCAGTTCAAAGACATCAATTCTTCTTCTGTCATCCTCATTGACCCTCAGATGCATACCAACTGACTGAAAAGACCCTTGTTGAATCAGGGGCACTTTAGTCCTCAAATTGATATCATTGTTACTCAGTGGTTTGGAGAAGTCCCTGACTGCAGACTTTGTCAGTGCAATATGTCTCCTGATCTCCTAACTGCTGGTAACAGATTGATCAAATTTTGTATGCTCAATGATTTATTTATTACAAATACCTTTCTCAAAAAACACACAAATTGCAACTTTACACATGGACCTCACCAAAAGGCCTGCATGGGTATCAGATTGACTACCTTGATGGAAGGAATTAATAGAGAAGTTCAACATCAGCAGTCAAAATCAGGTCAGGTGCTGGCCGTGGAACAGATCATCAATTACTCATATGAAAGTTCCAGTTAAAGAGGAAGAAAATGAAAACAAGTCCACAAGAACTAAAATATGATCTTGAGTCTATCCCACCTAAATTTATAAATCATCTTAAGGTTTGAAGCATTGAACATTCATGACCGAAGACCATTGTTGTGGGATGATATCAAGGATATTATATATGAAGAGAGAAAAAGGTCACCACAAAAGCAGAGCAGAAAGGAAAAACACATTGGATGTCAGAAAAGACCCTGATAAATGCACTAGAGCATTGAGAAGCTAGAACAAAGGCTGAAATAATCGAGCTGAATAGCTTTCAAAAGGAAGCTCAGGAAGACAAAGCAAACTACTGTAAGGGAATGTGCAGATACCTAGAACTGGAGAATAAAAAGAGAAGAACTTGATCGGTATTCTCAAGCTGAAAGAACAGGAAAACAAATCCAAGCCTTAAGTTGCAATATGTAGAGATGCTATGGGCACAATCTTGAATGATCCAGGAAATAACAAAAGTACATGAAGGAAATACACAGAATCACTGTACCAAAAAGAACTGGCTGACAAGGAAATATTTCAGAAGTACCATGTGATCAAGAGCAATGGTCATGAAGAAGGAGGTTGAAGCTGCACTGGAAATACAGGCAAAAAATAAGATGTCAGGTATCGATGGGATACCAATTGATATGTTTTAAATTACAGATGCAGCCCTTAACATGCTTACCAGACTATGCCAGGAAATTTGGAGAACAGTTGTCTGGAAGAGATCCATGTTTGTTCCTATTCCCAAGGAAAGTATCCAAACAGAATATAGAAATTATCAAACAACATAATTGCATAATTGTTACACCATGCAAGTAAAATACTGCTGAAGATCATTCAAAAATGGCTAGAACAGTCCATTGACAGAGAATTGCCAAATGTTCAAGCTAGATTTAAAAGAGGCCATGACACCAGGGATATCATTGCTGGTGTCAGATGGATGCTGGCTGAAAGCAAATAATACCAGGAAAATGTCTATTTGTGTTTTATTGACAATACAAAGGCATTTGATTGTGAGGAACAAAACAAACTATGGCTAACATTGAGAAGAATGGGAATCCTAAAGCACAAA